AGGCACTGGAGCTGCTCTAAGGTCTCCCCTTAAGGAGCCTTCTCCTGTTCAGGCTGCCCCAGCCCAGCTCTCTCAGCCTGTCTCTAGAGCAGATCCCTTCTCTGCCCTTCTACCCCCTGTCCTCCTCCACGATGGGCACATGGAGGGTCCCACAGCCCCATCCCTGACCCCCACATCCCTGCAGGTAACCGCAGGCAGCCATGGCCGAGTGCACGGAGCTGGAATGGGCCGTCCAAGTGCTGGTGAACAACTTTGACAAGTACTCGAGCCGCCGCTGCTGCTGCAAGAAGCCGCGGCGCATCAGCAAGAAGGACTTCCGCAAGATGCTGAGCTGCGAGCTCAACCACATGCTCACGGTGAGCTTGGGACCAGCTCACGGGGTCCCCCCACCCCTACACCCCCTTGTCCTGGTGTGAGCAGCTCCCTTCTCTCCCCCCCAGGACACCGGGAACCGCCGGGCGGCCGACAAGCTCATCTGTGACCTGGATGAGAACAAGGACGGGCGCATCAGCTTCGAGGAGTACTGGACCTTGATAGGCGGCATCGCCAGCCCCATCGCCCAGATCATCCGCCAGCAGGAGCAGAGCGTCAAGCACACCAAGTAGTGGCTTCATCCGACCCCCTGGGATCACCTCCTGCTCCTCCATAGTTTCCTGCTTCTCCCCAGTCCCATTGCCAAGTCCTGCCCTGAGCCCCAGCTTGCCCCGGGGCACCCTGGTCTCCCAGAGCCATGCCCAGGGGGTGATCGGGGTGGGTGGGAGGTGGGGGGTGCGAGGCCATTGCAGCCTTGGGGGGCTCCTCCTTGCCCTGAGCCATGCTACCCCTGCCTTCATCCTCACCCGCAAGCCCTTGCTGGGCAAGAAGCAACGGGATGGGCTTCTCCCCATCCAGGACATGAGTTCTGTCTGTTCTCAGCCCTCTGGGGCAGAAACCCCATCACAACCAGGACCTCATTCAAAGTGATGGGGTCGTCTATGGGATAAAGGGTGCCTTTCCCCTTGCCCAAGCTGGTGAAGGCTCTGCCCTGCTGGTGCTCTGGTCCTTCAGGCTCGGGGAGCGGCGCGGTCCCGTCCGGGCAGCACCACCCGCCGTTATTTATTGCCGCAATAAACAATGGAGGAGCCG